TTCCACCTTATGGCACTTTATGTCTTAATCAAAATGAATAGGATCCGTTCTACAATTTGTGTAACTTTGTGCTGGGCTGTGCAAAGTTACACAAATTCTACTACCCTGTTTCCCCTTAAATAAGACCTAACCTGAAAATAAGCCCTAGTATGATTTTTCAGGATGCTCGTAATCTAAGCCCTACCCCAAATATAAGCCCCAGTTCAGTGAAACCGCACCCTCCACCCTTGTGCAGCAACCAGAAGATGGCATGATGGTATTTGAATAATACAGATGGTTGTACATGGAAAAAATAAAATAAGCCCTAATGCTTTTTTTTGGAGCAAAAATTAATATAAAACCCTGTCTAATTTTTGGTGAAACATGATATGTCAGTGTAAAATTCTTTGAAAATGATAGACCTTGGTGCCTTTAACCCTTTTATAGTGTGTTGGGTGAGTTTTTTAAGACTTTAGGATATCCACATCTCTTTGCTGAAGCAGTAAAGAGGAGCAGATTTGCTTGTTTTATTTTTGTTTTTTAAAAGAATGGGGGACAGGAGTGTAAAATAACACCCAGCAAAGTCAAGTCTACGAGGTTCATAGAGGAGGAGGCGCTGGTCTTGAGTGTGTGGGAAGAGTGCCTCAGATGTGGTCTAAGCTTTCTTAGTTTCAGCATTAATTTTACCTCCACTGATTAAAGCAAAGAAAAAAATGCTCAAGTAATTAAGCAATAAGTTTTAATTACGAGAGGGCTGCCAAGACTAAACCACAGAAAGTAGAACAGCTGGCGTATAAATCATTAGGCAATTAACAGCTCAAGGGAAGAAATAGTTCTGTACTATTGAAAGATTAAAAAAGAAAAGCCAACAACCCAAGGCCAAGGAAGAGACCTTTAATCACCACACCAGACTGACAAGATTTGACAATGCCTTCCTGATCCCTGCCCAAGAGTTGTCACTCAAGAGCAGAAACACATGCACAAGCATACCTTGGCGTTTTCTTTTAATTACTCTGTAATTAACTGCCTTTTCAAGAGTCTGACGCCCAGAATTTTACACAGGACACCGCGCGCGTGCCAACACGCAGACACATGGATGTAGCGGAGGGGATCACCCAGGGTCTCCTGCTTTGATATCAAAGCCTGCCGGCCACGTTAGTAATCCTTTCTGATCCTGGACGACTCCCGCCCATTCACACTTGACCAGTTTAATTCTTGACGCTCGGAAGCAAACGGGACCTCTTGAAATGCACGGCCGTGAGAACGTCCCCCCCACAGCGAGAACTTAAGAGCAGGGCGCTGAAAAGAGGAGAGAGACAACACGCGTCTGCCTGAGATGTTTTGTATAGACTTAGAGCGCCACCTTTCGGCCAACCACGGAAAGACGAGGCAAACGAGAAAACTCTGCGGACTACGAACCGTAAATCTGCCTGCAACCAAATTGAAGTTTCCACCGCTAAGACCATCCACGGACAATATATCTACCCGATTCTCTAACAACGATTTCATGGATCTTTCTGGTCTCAAGCTTTATGAGTGGCCTTTTCTCTACGTGGCCATGCTAAAGGCATCTTCTCTGGTTTTGCGTTGCGACCCAGACAAAAGCAGAGCTTTTTCTCAAGCGCCCTCACATTTTGCTCAGAAAAGTCATTAAAATGAAAAGTTACAACGGTATGGCGACAAAGAGCACTCGTCTAACACGAAGACTTTCTGAAACGAGTCAAAGCATTCGCACGCTTTAGCCACCGCACGTAACCAACGGGAAAACTGAAGGAGAAACTTACATAGACGGCACTTTTGCACGGAGCCGAGGCAGGACGGAGGGGGGGGGCTAAGGAAGGGGAACTGCTCCCTCTGCCAACCCAGAGGGAGAGGGTAGTGCCTCAAGGACTGGGGGGCCTCCTTACAAAGGTAGGTGGGGATTCGTTGCCCACTCCAGTGGCTCACGGGGGAGATGCGGTCACGTCTGAAGAAGTTTAGAGACCACGTATGCCCCCTTCCCCTTGCAAGAGCTTCTCTCGAGGTCCTAAATGAACTGCCGCGCAGTCACCCAAGGGAAAAATGGAGGGGAGGGGGGGAATCCCCACGGACCATCCCTGGCTACCAACTCCGACTCCACCGAGGGCGCCCGCCTCTCAC